GAATATGCCTTCAGTCTTTATTTTCATGTCATCAAGGATCACGCATTCTCTCAAGGCTTTTCCTACTGATGACGGTGGGATTGAGTGTCCTTGAACTGTCTTCCCACTCTTCAAATTCTCAAAACACATTCATCTCAATATGTTAATTTCCTAGAGAATCCAATAAATTTTTTTCTGGTTTTTGTTACTCATATTAGCAAGATGTTAAGGAGGAAACAATGGAGTCAAAGTGATACACAGAAAGTTATGAATATTTGGAAGATATAAACATTGACAATCATATTTAAATTATTAATACAGATTAACCTTTAATTGTTAGAATGTGTGAAGTTGAAGACTTTGGAGTCTTTTTATGCATATCCTATCTTACTCATTATGTCTTCTTGCTCCCCTTGAATCCCAAGAACAACAACAACAAAAAAATGAGTTAGCAGCTCTCTGGCTTTTCTGAAAGCAAATTTCGAAAATGTTTTTCTCTGTTTTTTTCAAGAAAGCATTACAATTATTAGTGTGTAATAATAAAAATAAAGCATACTTAAGATTAGTTTGGATTAGTTCTATTATAATCTGTTATTTGGTTGGGTAGATAGTTAACTGATTTTTACTTATTAGAAAATTCCTGTATTAGTCTTTGTTTTCCTATAGAACTTTAGAAAATTTGTAATAGACTACATATTAATTGACCTCTGTAGAGTTATTTCTCTTGGAGAATCTGTTTTCTTAATTACTGATTAGAATACCAACCAAGATGCCCATCTTCACTGTAATTATACAATGACTGAAGGAAAAAGACCTTGAAGGCTGTCTCTCAGTTTTATGGTGTGGCTTTATTTTAAAATATAAATAATGGAATAAAAACATTTTCTATATAATTTCTAATATCTAATTAATGTCTTCCAGAGTAACTGTGGTATCAAACATTTCCTCTAATTATATTCATTAGTGGCTTCTCCTGGACAAGTTTTAATTAAGTTGTACAATGAAGATCAATACTCATTGGTATTCATTGCAATTTACAACAAGCATATATACTGTTCAGAACAATTTAATTACTGTAATTGTTGCACAGAAGATACTTAATGACTGTGTTCCATTACTGTCAATTCCTTTTAAAAATAAATTTAGTAATGAAATTGAGAAATGAACATTTGAAAATTCACATTTACATAGACCCTAAGCTTCTGGATTTCATGAAACTAGTTTAAGTAGTGGGGGAAATGGAGGCATTAATAATAACTGTGGCAACAGGCATGCCATTATGAACATCAAGAAATTATTAGAACATAAATAAGAACACCTGTAATCATAGTTATGTTGGTTATGTGAAAAATAATTTAAGAGTGTTGGGTAATAAGAACACTCTATCTTTTCCTTAAACAAGACTTCGATTTTTACTATTTCCATAAAATAGGAATGGCATTTTGAGTCATAAGGGATGCCTTCAAATATGCTAACTTCTGTTAATGACAAACATGATACTGATGTACGAAGATGTGAAAATAGAGACTTTCTGGTAGAATCATCGGTGTCAACCAGGGTTTGTCAACTTTGGCACTAGTGGACTTTGATCCGGATAATTCTTTCCTTAGGATGGGGGAGGGTTCGCTATGCATTGAGGGACGCTTAGCTGAATGCCTGGCTTCTTCCCATGAGATGCCAGTGACAAATACTCCACCCACCTCCAGTTTTTACAAAATTATTATTAAAGTACAGTTGACAAACTGTTATTTAGTTTTAGGTGTCCAACATAATGGTCCAACATGTATATATCTTACAAAATGATTGCCATCTCACCATCCAGTTTTGACAATGAAAAATGTCTCCAGACATTATCAAACATCCATGCTGAGAACCACTGCTATATGTCAATTCAGAAACACTCTCCTGATCTGCCCACTGACCAAATGATTCACTTGTAAGACAAACAGCTATTCATCTGTTCTGAGCACTGGCTAGTTTCACAGGTATGATTCAAACAAAGTGTTCATTTAAGGAAACAATACAATTCTGTGTATTCAGTGTTTTTGGAGATAAGAATTGGGTGCTAATCAACTATTCAGTAATAATATCTTATATCTTACCGAGATTTAGAAAAAGAAAGATCAGTGTTGGGTTCCTGGCGAAGAAAGTTCCTGAAATATGTTTTGTAGAACAAATGAAGACTTAGCAATTCAGAAAGGGCAAAAGGCATTAGAGAGCTAAAACAGCATGTGTAAAACTTGGAGATATAAGACAGCTAGCTCTATGTCTCTGTATACATCTCTATATAGATAGATATGGAGATCTATATAAAAATTATACATTATCTATCTATCGATCATCTATCTAATCATCTATCATCTATCTAATCCATTATCTATCTATGATTTTAGTTATTTTCCCTGAGGTACCAGGTCCCAATTTGCTCTGCATTATATGAACAAAATTATAATATATAATCTGCAAGTAATTACCTAAAACATCTAATTTTTCTTTTTCTCTCAATTTCTAATTCAGTAATAGTGTATATAAATATGTTCTTTGCACTGTGAATTTTATGAAATCATCTGTTAGACAGTAGTGGGAAGTGACATACGTGTATTTCTATAAACCTCCTAATCTAGTTATTTGAAGAAAACTTTTGATAAGATCATCATGAGAAAGATAATATAAATTCTCATTGTGGTTATTTTTATGTGTTTAATAATGCATTTCAATACTGAGAATTCCCAATAAATTATATTAACAGCCAAGCTAGTATTTTGAGTTCATTCATTTACTTTTGTGCGCGCACACACACACACACACACGTTCTTGGCCAAAAAAGAGTAAAAATAATAATTTAGATTAAAGTTAATTTATGTGATGGTAACTAAATTTTAGAAAGGTATCTGGAATTTTGTTTGTAAAACCGAATATTTCAAGATCCACATATTATTAAAAGGTCTACTGGGAATCCTGCATTTCTCATGGCAAGCTAGTTGCAAATTCCTAGAATTCCGAAGCACATCCACCACAGGATTAAGTTCAGTTTGACTGCCACTATAGTAGAAGACCTTTAGGTCACTGATTTGCTCTATTTTTTCTAGTCTACACAGATATGCTGTTGCTCAATATCAAAGGTGAATCAAATGAATCATGAAGATGAATAAACATAACAATTTAGGTTCTGTACTCCCCTGGTATTTAGTCATGTCTAGACACAGCCCCAGTGTCCCAGAAAAACCAAAATGAGGACAAGGACATTTAAGTTTCATATAGCCTTATTCCCATAGTAACCAGAAAAGCCAACAATAGAGTAAAAAGAAAATAGTATGGCCCTATCTAAAAAATTAGACTTAGTGGAATGTTTGGTGTATTTGCAAGGTCAATGGATAATGGAACAGTGTTTTCATTTATTTGTTTTTTTATTATTTTTGCTGTTTTAAACAGTAGTTTTACAGTCAATTTTGTTTTAAAATAATTTCACAAATTATTTATTTTACTATTCCCTAAAGTCAAGGTGATGTGTGTAGGTTAAAGATGATATAATCATTATATAAGTAGACATTTATTAAGAGCTCAGTACTTGAGGGAAATAGACAAGTATACAAGTATATTGTATATGTATACATGTATGTGTATATGTGGTATTGAGTATATTTGTGTTTTCTAAAAATTTTATGTTTTCGATTTATTTTTATGTTACTAATATTTTAGACTGTTAACTTAGTGTTTAAATATGTTTAATGTTATATGAAATAAAATGATGAATAATAAGTGTTAAATGCACATAATTACTATAGTGTATAGAAAATTTCTATTTCAATTATGATCATGATTTGTTATAGCAATTCAGTCTTGATTGGTTATAGCAATTCTGTCTTCTATTCTCTTATAAAAGTATTATAACACATTTCTCAGCCTATCAACTGTTATTACTTTAGTTTTCAGGGTTTAATACTTGCAGATGAAATCATCTCTTTAAAATTGCTGACATTTCAAGATACTGGATTTCGAGTGTAGTTTAAGGAAGATTGATACCTCTTCTTTAATTGTTTCTCTTTTGGATCCGTATGCCATGTACATTCAAAGTGGGTCAGCTGTGCCATGAACCAGGTAGAGCCAGATAGGCATAATAGGTTGGAAAAGTAATGATCTGTGATCTATGTCTTTTTGATGACACAACACCCTTTTAGCTAATTTAATTTTGGGAGGATAGTAGGTGAACTCATTGAAACATAAACAACATGTGTGTATGTGATGTGGGTACACATGTGGGTACATACTGTGTGGCTTCCTTTTGTAGTGATATTCAGACTTCTATCTTGGAAGTTCCAAATATTTTAAGATATCTAAGTATAATTGATGTCTGTCTTTCAAATATGTAGCTGATATTTCTATAAGTAATACATTTGAGACTATGGTTATATATAAGTAGAAGATATCTTAGAAATGCAATGGAGACATAACTGTAATAACAACCCTAGTTTCCTCAGCTTGGTTAAGGGTGTGTAGATTTATTTCTTAATTGAATTTGCAGTTTGGATTTCAGATTTCAGTTAGTATCACAAAAAATATTACAGACTTGGGGATAGTTTATTGTTGTTTAATGTAAATTATTTGTTAATTGCTTCATAACAGCTTTAAGGAAGAAAATACAATATGTTCAGCCAAAGTTTTATGGCTACAGTTTAATCTTAAGACTTAAACCCTGAAAAAAAAGTGGAACGGTTCTTAATGTTTTCTGTGTACCTTTCTTTTTTTTTCTTCTTATTTTAATTCTTGTCCTTTATTCTTGTTTGACAAAAAAAAAAAAAAAATGGCTCTTAGAGTAATGACTTGTTTATACATTTTTGCTGTAATTGTTCTATAAATGTTAATTCAAAATCACATTCTCTTGCATAGAAATGTTTTCTTTATAACTCACATTCATTATAACCAATGGTTGATTATATAGCAAGATGCACTTTTAATAATACTATGAAAATATTGATGCATTTTTATGTATCTAACTCAGTAATGTGTTCTTTCTATTTCAGTGAATTTATTGGATTCCCGTACGGTCATGGGGGACCTAGGCTGGATTGCTTTCCCAAAAAATGGGGTAAGCCTTTA